GCCGATATGTGTTTTAAATCTGATTTTGAGAGAGTATTTCGTATTTTGTATTATTTAAATAAATTTTGCTGTGGTCCGACAATTAATAATATTAGCCAACTACCTATAATAACTAAGAGTAAATTGATAGTTAATTAAAAAATTGTTTATATTTTAAATTTTATCGCCTGCAGCTTACCTATTAAACCAATGTCTCTTAATTACGGACAAAGTAATAAAAACCACATGAGTTTTGGACGAAACCTAAAAAATTGACATACGAATTGTGATCAATATCACATAGGTACTACCTATGGAAAAAGTTTCCAATCATTATTTTTTATATAAAGATTATTTATCAGCATAAAGATTGTTATTTGTTAGTTAAGCTTTTTAAATGTAAACAAAAAATATTTTCGAAAAGAAGGCATTTATCCTGCAGGCTGCAATATTCAAGTACCTAGTGAAATTAATAAATTAACATTTATACGGGTTGTATCAAAAAAAAAATTGCCACAAAAACTATGATGACAATATATTTATAAAAAAAAAACATTCACAATACCTACATGATAATATGTTTTGAATGTATGTTTATATAGAAAAACATATTTAATTTAAGAATAATTTAGACTTCTCTCTTGCAAGACACAAAAATGTTTAACCCTAACTACCAATTTTTTTTGGTACCTTGTCCTAAGTCCTGAAAAGATGGTGAAGGGATATAATATATTATTTGTGTCTGTAACTCGCATCGCAAGCCGCAAGGTTGACCTAACTTGATATCCGCAATTAGTATTTTGATAACGAAACCGTGTTCGTAATCGTTATATTATTATAATATTGACCTTAACAATTCGTCCGCAACTATAGTATGTGGCCTACTAAACAGTAAAATATAAAATATTGGTATATAATGTATGTAATATACAATATACTACAGGTATATAACACAAAACTAGGTACTTTAAACTATATTGTATTTGACGTCTATAGACTATAACTCATAAACTATAACTAATAATAGGTCTAGGCGTCTAGCCGTCTGGGTAATAATTTAAAAATGGCTCACAAATATATTGACACCAACAACTGAATAATTGAAATTATGTGTCTGTAAATACAAACTGTATGGCTATTATATGAATGATGGCCATAGGTGGAAATAGCCTTTGAGATTTGAGGGGAGCTGAAGTGCTGGAGCCCTACTAATTACTATTATAATATTGAATAAGCTTAAAAAAACTTAGGAAATGTTTAGGTGGTTATTGCATTTTTTAGGGGATTAAGCCCCAAAGCACCTTCTATTTGCTCCTAGTGATGAGTCTATGATGGCTAATATTTTTGGTATAATCTAAGTTCTAACAGATTATGTTCAATACTTCATATCTTCATGAGTGCATCTTTAGAATTTAGATACCTACCTCATTAAATATTTAAATATAGTTGGGTACCAATTATTTATAGGTACTGTAGACTTAAGGCTAGGTAGTAGGTAATAACCAATAGGTAGTTTATATATTGTTAAAGACTATAAACTATATTAATAGATTGTAATCATCCTTCTAGGTCTGGTCAAAATTTAAGATTATAATACTATATTCCTTCCGTTAGTGCTAAAATGTTTTATTATTTTTGACAAACAGAAAACGTTCTAGGGCTATATACTGTTTAAACGGTTTTTTCCACATTATTGGTCATTCGGACATCCGAGTGACGAATGCTATTTTGTTTTTTCTAACTCCGTTACTTTTTAAAAATAAAAAACAGTAAGTGTAATTATTCTGGCGTGGGTTATTATCACAGTGGGGGGGCCGTCATCGTCATATTTTTTTGCGCACATAAGTAGTTCGTTGTACTGCAAGGCACTACAAGCATTGATTTTATAACATAAAATCAATGGTACAAGGTACCTACAACGAATAGCGAGTATGTATGTCAGAGTAGAGTATGCCAGAGTATGGATAAAATAGAGATCTCCCATCAGCTCTTCCGTTATCGTCGGTTTAAAATAGTAAATGAAAAATACGTTTACCCGCGTACTATAGGTACAATAAATCGGATCAAGTAGAAATTCCCCCCGGAAGTGACCTCACAAATACCCTCCAGAATATTTAGTCAATATATATAATAATATATATTTTGGGACTATAGTCCCCCCCATTAGTGGTTCAGTCCCCCTACGTTAGGTTAGTTTTCTTTTATCTAATTCTAATAGTCTATGATTTTAAAATAACGTAAAATTAAAAATAGTATATTGAACAAATTGTAGTACAAATTGTAGTACAAATTGTAGTACAAATTGAACGAGACTTAACTTCAGAAATAAAAACTGAAGATATTTTAAATATATTCAGTACAAATAAACGTAGATTTGACTTACATTTATCATAAGAGTAGGTACATTAAAATAAAATATTTTTTATTTGAAAGCTTGGTAAATTGTATTAATCCTATGTTTATTTATATTAAGAATATTAATATATAATGTAATAATAAAATAAAACTTTCAAATTGTTTTGTTTTTTTTTTAATGTAGGTAGGGGAGACTGGCTTAATATGACATATTAGGGTAATATGACACATTGATGTTTTGATTAGAATTATTGATATTTATGAACCAAATCTTCTTTAAATACGTTACATATAACCTCCTACATACAATTGTATACAGCGATCACCGGTTTTGACCTTATCAGAGAATTTGATAACAAAAATGTATTTTTTGTCTTATCAACATTTTTTAAAAGCATTTTTGAAAATTAATTTTAAAATATTAAACCTTATGTTCCTTCAATTTGTTTTATTCGAAGTTGAACATAAAAAGGCAAGCTATACTACAATTGTTTTATAAATAAGCTTATTATAATACTTTTGCCATAAATACTTTGAAAAAAACTTGTATTATATCAGGCAAAATGACATAGCCGTGCTTATTATTATATTAATTTCATATTTATATTATTATATTAATTATGTTAAATATATTTCTAAAATTTTGTTATTTATAATAAAAAAATTCATTAAACTATTAAATTCTAAAAATTTTATAATTTATTTCTATTGACCAGTATACAATGGTTGCTTATACAAATATGGTGTATGCCATTTTACCCGACACTCCGGGTAAAATGACATAGTAGGTACATTTAAAAAAAAGTGAATTAAAATTATTTGTTTATATTAAATGTACAATTAGACTTCAGAAATATGTGTATTATATAAGTACTAATATGTTGCTCAAGTTTCATGTGTTAACTAACATTATTTCCTTCATTTTTTTAAAATTAAAAATTGGTATGTCATATTAAGCCAGTCTCCCCTACTCACTTCAGAGTCATAATTCAATAAACATGCATTGCATATTTATTGATTGACTATGTACATTTTAACTTTTTATACAAGTATATAACTGTAATGACTATTGATGTTGTAATTCAATACATTCAATTTTAGCATAGTTTAATAAAAAATAGTCAAGGACTTAAGTCCCCCTTGTTAATTAGGGTATGCTACGCCCATGGTAAGTATTAGGTATATGCTCGACTTTTTTTTTAATTTGCACTAAGAACAACTTACGAGGAACCTTGTTTTACATTTTCATGTTTTTTGACCCATTAGAAAATTTTTATTAACATTAATTTTAAAAAAACTTATAATAATTGAAAATTCATAATATGTCTATAAATAGCTCAACATGAGTTAAAATATTTTTTAAATTGTATGTTGCTTAGAAAATGGCAATATAAACATTCAGTGAAATTGGCATGTATGTACGTAACATTTATTTAGAGTTACGCCAAAACCAAAATCGATTTTGTGTAAAAATTTACGTTTTTAAGGAATATTATATTAGGATATTTTATTTCGTTTTTCCCGCCGCTTTTATAAGCTACTTGGAATCACCAACTAGATTTACTTTGCCACCGGAAAAGATTTTAAGTTGAAAATCGAAGCATTATTTCGAGTTTCGACTTCTTATCGACTATCGTATGTACAGACAAACTTTAAAAAATACACACACCATTGTAAAATACTAAAATCAATATATTATTCATCGCTCTGCTTAGAATTTAAAAGAAATATTCGCGTTGATGTTCGCATTAAAAATTTATCGGTTGAAAATGTTCTACTACACGTCTACTGTCTACACCGAAAATCATACACAAAAGGGAATTGAATTGTCCATTTACCCAATAATTAATGAATGTACAATGTACTGCCACAGTCAGTCATATAGGTGCTGGCGGTGCGCAGCGTTTCGGTGCGGACCGCGATTGCCGAACACGTCGTCGTCGACCGTCGAGCGTCAGCCCGTGTGTTTATTATTATTATTGTTGTTGGTATTTTTTTTTCGTCCGCTCTCGGCCGCCCACCCCACCGCCGGACGGCAGCACCCACCGCCACACGGCGCACCGCGGACACCTCGCGATCACTGCCGACCCACCGACTGCCGTGCGTGCGCGCGCCGTACGTGTACCTACACCACAGCACGGTGGGCACGGTAGCGTCGGCCGCGGCAGTACCCAATCCATTCGGCGCACACACACGCGCAAGCAGACGACGGTCGACGACAGTGTCAGTAACAAAACGCATTCATCGCGAACGGGTGGCGTTGAGCACGTCCCGTGTGTTTGTGTGTGCGTGTGTGCGTCGCTCGTCTATATATATATATATATATTTTAATAACACTAGGTAAATTCACACCGTGTGTATCGTGTGTGATGAACATCAGCAGTTGTGTTCGTAGCTCATCGGCAGACGAACCACCGACGTACGGCAGTCAGTCCGGTTAAGTGTACTGCGTGTGCGCCCCGTTTTTTGCGTCGCCGCCGGCCGTTGCACTCGTTCACGAGTCACGACACAAGACGACGACGTCGGTGATGCCGAGCGGTTGCCCGTCCGCCGCCGCCGACGACGACTGTCTCTTCTACTCCTGAACCACGGCCACGGCCACGACCGCGACCACGACGGCGGCGGAATCTTTGGACGCGACCACCACTGCCGCCGCCTTATCAATCATGAGGTGAGTCTCGCTGTGTTTGTATTGTTATTGTTATGGGTAGGTACCTACCTACCGATACTTGGGTGGTATACTGGTATTGTGTTAAGATGTTATTGTTATTACAATTCGACGTCGGTCGCCCGTAGTCATCCACCCGCCCCGTTTTCTCCGACCGGCGTGTACCGCGTTCGGTAGGCTGCAGGCACCACCTACCTCTATGTATTACTTTAATCGCGGAATGTTTTCCTCTTGATTACATGTTTTTCCCGCCCCGCGCGTATCCGAACCACGTCTCGCCACCACCACGACTGGCGGCTGGCTCACACACCCCTCACACCCCCGCGGGTGGATATCAGTGCCGTATTGTGCGGGTACGACAACGACATGTTCGTACAATCTCTGGGTAGAGTCGCTGCTCCGGTGCGGTTACCCTTTTTTCGTACTGCGCTTCGTCGTCGTCATCCATTCTTAACCCGTCGCTGCGACCACCCGGAATCACAGACGTGTTATTAATTCGATTTCGATACGTGTTCGTGTCCGGCCGATATCCAGCCGCCCCGTGAAATCTGTCCACCACTGTCGACCAGGTCCTGTCCTCCAGGTAGTCGTAGGTGTGTTACGACAGTTGCGACGACATTCTTGCGCGACGGTAGTCAAACATCCTGACAACATGATGTCTGTTGCGTCTCCGACTTCGGCCGACATTCGGTAAGCGTCGTTTTCCTTCTCGTATTTTCTGGTTTTATTTTCGAAATACCAGTCTTAGGTAACCAGGCGAGCGTACCTAGGTATCTACGGACTTTTACTCTGTGTTTCACTGGCGATGCCCTGACCTCCCCCCCCCCCCCCGGGCATCATCAAACGGGAACGGTCCCTTATTTGTACTCGGCCCCCAAAACACGTCCCTTTTATCTTATCTACACTACTACTCAAGACTATCAATTATCAAATGTCTTAATGCGAAAATAATGTTGTTTTTTTTTTCAAATCATTAAATGCGTTCATTTTTTTCTGCGATTATTTTTAACGAAATAATTACGTAGATAGCCTCTAATGACCGCCTGTGTCATTATAGTATTAGGCGTTCGCGGAATACCATGACAGAGTTTTACCATTTCCAAACCGATTAATGAAATTACAAATTTATCTATGAGTCATTTCGAAAACTTCGAATTCCAATTAGTTGACAAACGCCCAAAGCATTTGTTATCTTGGTGATTAACTAATATAATAATAATGACTAATGACAGTAGTTCAGTATAATATTAATACATTTAATTATTTTATGTTTTAATATCAAGTAATTTACGAATTTTAATTATTGATTGTAAAATACGATATCATCTTTTATTTTCCAATACTTAATGTATTTGTACCTACCAGTTGTGCCCGTAATAAAATTATTAAACATTACCTATTTATTGCACAAATTTACTTCCAAGAATGTTTTATGCTCATTGGGTACATTATATATTTCACCTATAAAATATTTACCAAGTACTGTCTTATGTGTCATTTGTTTTTTGTTTATTGTTATTTATGTAGGCTATTTAATTGAACCTAAAACATATAACTGTAAACATTTAAGTCAAACCCAACAATTAAAACAGGAAGTTGATAATAGAATTCACAAATCAAAATAAAATGTTCCATAAAAAATATTGCCAGCCAATATAATTTTTTATGTTTATTATCTTTATAAAAAGTTGCCACCCACATATTATAATAATTAGTAGATAAATATTTCATTCAAGTCTATTTTATGAATGTTTAAATTTTACACCATGAACATTTAATAATTTCCGGAATAACTTAATAATTTCAGCTTATATCCTAAGCTACCTAAGCTACCTAACATAATATTTTGGATTAAATAATTTTATCAAAATAATTAGTGAAAAAAAATATAATTTATGTAGGTAGGTTTTTGGTACACACTTTATTGTTTTAAAATATTGTTCACTTATTATGAGTAATATTTTTGTTTTTTTATTAGGTAAATATCACATAATATCATAACTATACAATACTATCTCTTAATATTATTGTGCAACAACAAAAATGTTTATATTATGATGTTAACACTTTTTCCACTGTGTTTATATTATTTCTTTATTTTTGTTATCATATTTATATTTTTATACATCTATCTTAGCAATTTATATTGGTGGGTACATATATGTTTATTTTTTAATCTTTATTGTTAGGTATTTGTGGAAGGTTTTGTATTACATGATTAAATTCAAGTACATGTCTCATTATTCAAATTAAAATAAAAAATAATTTTAAAATATTAATACATGTACCTAGTAAAATCCTGTCAAGTCTAAAATTGAAATTGTTTGATTATCATCTAATGGTTTGGTCACTTAATAAAGTAGATTCAAGTTGTTCCTTGTGTGTTACATATTTAAAAGAAAAAAGGAATGGGTACTTTCTGTTATCACGACTACCAACCATAATAGGTACATTTGAGACCCACTGCGATCCCTCAGACCACTTAAATCATAAGCATCCCTCGATTTGGTATGATATAAAACCACCTTGAGTAGGTTACAGAGTAACCTAACTTAATCTAATTTTACCTCAAGAATTGTACATATCAAGTCGAGGGATATATTTAACTTAAATTGTCCGAGTGAATGCAGCAAATGAATGACCACATTGGGTCTATACGAACTGTGGTTGGTAGAAAAGGACCAAGGACTTATAAATAAACATTATTGGTATTGATATAATATCATAATATTTCAGTTGTAAAAGTTTATAAAATCGACTTATAAGGTTATGCTATGTAAATTATACTACCAACAGTGGTTGAAGTGGAGGGAGTGGGATATAGTGGGATGACATCCCTCATTTTTATAATTTCCATTTTCCATCCCTCTTATTATTTTTTCAAAAATAATGTATCATCCCCCTTATAATAAATTATATACAAATATTATTAATTTACCTACCCATAGTGTTGTTTTTCATAAAATTGTTATTTTTACGATGGGTTTTTTAATTAGTTTAACAATAATACAATGAATAATAATTTTTACTTATATTACAAATAAGTATTATCAGGGCCTGTATAAATAAAATCGGTCCACTGATTATACCAGTCCCCTTACAAACTGGCGGCCCTTGGGCATGTTCTTATTTCGTGCATAGTTTTTTTTATATAGTCTCCATTTATTCAACTCTTAACATATTTTCAGTCAGCGGCTTTTGATGACTTGAACGGCCCAAAATTATTGCGACCCACCAAGTTTTACTCAGTAACTCGCCGGGCCAATCCTGCCCTGAATATTATTATTTTTTTTTGCTGGGATGGAAAACGTTTTTAAAAAACGTTATTAAACGAAAATAACAATTTATAAAACTAAAAAAAAAAAAAACAAAAATAGAAAACAACTGAAAAACGATAACAAAAAATCCCAAATTCCAAAAAAAATTTAATAAGAAAATTAAACAAAAACGAAAAAAAATTATAATTATAATTCTGTTATGGAAAAATTGATAATTCTGATAATTGTTGACAATAAAATATATCAATAGCATAGAACAAATATTGTAGTCCACACACACTGCATGGGTAGCAGTAAAATTCTATTTTGTACATAGTTCCTACTTACCATTTACTAAAATTTAGTATGTATTATTTTTGTTTCAATGAGTAAGTGCAAATTTTTTATTTTGATTCTTAGATGTATTTTCTATTTTATTTTTTTTTTACAATTGTATGTTAAACTCTTGAGTTCTGGATTATTTTTATTATTTACTCTAGAAATCTGAAATAGTGTTTCACTTTAGTCATTAAGACTTAAGTCTTTACTTTTTAATCTTTACCAATGCACTTTTAAAGTTTAAAAAAAATTTTCTAATTTTTATATCAATTATAATTCTGATTTAACATTTAAATATTAAGAATAGGTAATCAATTTTAATTTTTAACTGTTAAGTGCATTACTATCTCTCGCATTACTATTATAACTTAAAAACAAAAAATTATAAGTTATAAGAATATATAAAATACACACAAAAAAAAAATATTTACAAAATATAGGAAAATAACGTTTTTAAAAACATTAATCGAAAATGTTTAACAAAAACAATATTTTTTAAATCAAATAATCAAAAACGAATAAATTAAAAACGCTTTTTTGATAAGAAACAAGTACCAGGTACCTATTTGTTTGCTCGTTTAAATTGGGCCTTAATGTGACAACTACGTCTAATAAATCTAAACATAATTTCTTACAATTTTGCATTTATAAGATAATATTATATTTGTTTAAATCTAGGGATACCTATTAGGAGTTTGTATATTTTAAATAATCATTCAAAACATAGCACTGTTGACATGAAAAAACCTCTTATGTGCCACATTTATTATTTTGGGGTTTTGTTATCCCTGGATTAAAAAATAGCTATTTATGGATAAAATCTGTGCTATTTCCATCATTGAAAATTTCTCCTATGTGTTACCAACAATAAATTGTTTAGGAAATAACTTCTATGTGATTTTTTTATTTAAAATGTTTTTTTAATCTTATGAAAAACCTTGTTTTTGGTACACATGGGCAGTTTTATTGTGTCAACAACGGTAGATAAATAATATATAAATTTATTTTATATAATAATACGAGTATAGTAGTTTAAGGTAATATTTTTTCCTATTCTTTATGTATTTCTATTTTCCATAAAAGTGTATATTTTGTTATATTTTTATTTAAAGTGCATTTTTTACATATTACCTATACAATATTGAATATGAATTTTCAAGAAATTGGAACATAAATCATGTAAAATAATTAAATATTGTTTGATAATTTATCATAAAGTGTATGGAATTAATATTAATAATCATCATTCATTTAGATTTAAAAATATTCTAAATATTTTAGTCACACAATGTATTTGAGCAACAGTTTAATAGGAAATTATTAGAAATCACAAACATAATATGCATTTATAGTTGAAATTTTTGTTTCATTTAAAGGCAAACTTCAAGAAATTAGAAATATTAAAAAAAAGTTAATTTTAATTTTTTTTGCTTTTTAATGACAAAATAAAATATTTTTAAGAGTATACCTTTAAACATTTTTGCATATTAATAGAGCATACATTGTAAATATTAAGAGCATAGGCATAATCCATATATGCATTTTTTAAGGTCCTTATTCTTAGAGTTCAGAGTTAAACATTTTTTGATTAATTTTACAAAAGTTAACAAATATAATAAAAAAATGTAGGTAGTTACTTTTATAGTATATGCAAAAATAAGACACCAAACTTAAAACCAAAAATATATAAGTAAGTACTATGATATGAATAAAAATAGTTATATGTAAGGAGTTTAAATTCCTCCCCCCCAATCCCCATCACGCCACATTGAACACTGATAACCAATATAGATAAACATTTGTACCGACTATCTATAAATTAATTTTCTTTTATTAATTATTTTAGTGAAACAAGTATTACGTCAGCCAGAGCATCTGTGATGATTTATGACGACAACAGCAAAAAATGGGTTCCAAGTGGAACATCGTCAGGCCTTAGTAAAGTACACATTTTTAAACATGTGATCAATAATACATTCCGTGTAGTTGGAAGAAAACTACAAGACCACGAGGTATTTTTTTTTTAAATAAAAATGTTATGCTTAATAATAATATTTAAAATACAAAAGTTAATTTTTCTTTGATATAATATGTTAACACCATAGGTGCAAATAGAATGGAGGCTACCTAACAGTTGAAAAGTCCTGCAAAAAAAAAAAAAAAACAACACATTTTACACAAGAAAACTTTTTAAGTGGTTTTGATACCTCCAAAGCCCCATCTGAGCTTCAGCTCCCCCTCCCAAATCTCAAACACTAATTGCGCCTATGGCTAATACTCATTTTAGGTTTTGTTTTGCTATAAATCCATTTTTGATATTTTTTCCTTATATTACAAACTTTTATCAAAACTACTTATTAGAAGTCCTCTGTTACTATGCATCAAATTTAATTTCCTAAAAATATATTTGCTCCTTCATTATAAGTTATAACCAATATTATAACCTATGTTCAATACTCCAATTATATGCACACTTCTTTTTAATACTATATGTTTGTGTTAAAATGTTTTATACAGGTTGTTATTAACTGTGTCATTTTAAAGACTCTAAAATATAATCAAGCAACAACAACATTCCACCAATGGAGGGATAATAAACATGTATATGGTTTGAATTTTAGTAGCAAAGAAGATGCTGATTCTTTTGCACGAGCTATGGTGTATGCTCTTGAGGTATTTAACATTAAGTTATTGTAATTTACCTATAACTGTGTTTATATATTGGATAAAAGTTAAATTAGGGTTTACTGAGCATTTTTTAAATTTAGGTTCTAGATTCTGTATCGAGAAATACTATTAATAATCCTCATAACCATATACCACCTCCAGCACCTCCTATATATCAACAAGCAAATGGACAGTATGATGAGGATATGGGATACAGGTATTATTATCATACATGTATTTTATACATCCAATAAATTACTGTTATCTAATTGCTTATTTAACTCAGAGATTGGTGTACAAATAATGTACCTAATCATTTCAGAAGCATGACGAAAGATGATGCTGCAATTATCCAAGAGAGGAGAATGTCTCAGCAAAATCAAAGTTAGTTAAACATTTTTTTTGAAAACAGTATTGTTAATTATATTTATAATCAAAGACTATAGGTATTATTATATTTTATGGAATAAAAATAATTTTGTATAATTTTAGTCATTAGTACAACTAACGGTTTACCAACCATTCCACCTGCACCTCCTCAGTTGCCTTCTTCAGGTCACCATCGCACATCGTCGGCTCCGCCAGCACCAGTTCCTCCCCCTCCTCCACCAGGCATGTCTAGCCCATTGCCACCTCAACCACCTCCAATGCCTGGCAGTCTACCAAGACCTAGCAGTAACGGAGAATCTGATCACAGCGAATCAGTTGCTGACCAGACATCGTCTTTAGCTATACAGTTACAGGCAGCTCGTTTAAAACGTACCAATAAGGTATGTTACTATAATATTATAAGACCATGTCTGAGATCTAATTTTATGTTCTTTAATTTTATCAACACTAAAGCAGCATCCAGCTGAAAATAGTGGCTCGTCTACGAGTAGTGCTAGCAGCGGTGGAAGTGGAAATTATGGGACCCTTGGTAGAAATGCTAATGGTGGCCAAACTGGTATGGCATCAATGATGGATGAAATGGCACGTACATTAGCAAGACGTCGAGCTGCTGTTGAAAAGAAAGAACCAATTGATTGTCCTCAAGTAAGTGTTGGGCTTGGTACTTTCTCGTATAAAATTTTAAATAACATCATTTAATATGGGTCTATATTTTTAAAAGTACGACCAATTAACTACCCAAAATTATGTTCTTACCTTCCAAATTGTTGTAGTGTGTCAAAATATGATGTCCCGTTATAATATATCAATGATTAATTGGCATTGTGCATAAATATTAGAAATCTTTTTCCGTACCATAATTATTTTTATTTTCCCTAAAGGATGAAAGTGTATCACCTGGCGACAAAAAAAATTGGAATCGTAATGATAGTCAAAAAAGCTCATTAAATGGTTGTGAAAGTCCTAAACTTGGCCGAAAACAATTGTCTGCCACTTCCACTGAAGACTTGATATCAACTAAGTCATTTGGAGACAGTTGTATATCAAATATATCAAATATATCATTAGAGTTACAGACATTAAGACAAGATATACTACGTGAAATACGCAAAGAATTGAACCTAATGAAATTGGATATCATTGAAAGTACATAATTTTTATTTATTTATTATTTTTTTGCTCATTATATTTCCTGGTTTAAATCCAGTGCTGTTATTCTAAGAATGGAATGGCACTGTTTTCATGAATCTTAATGCAATATTTTTATTTTTATTATATTTATTTTTCTAATTTTATGATTTTAATAATTTTCAGGCATAAAATCAGAAATTAGCAAAAGATAAGTGAACAGCAATCTATCAAACAAGTATCAAATTACTAATATTCATTTACAATTTTATATTGATTCGATGCTTGTTCTTTTTTCTATTAAGTGGACATTTTCGAACTGAATCTCATTTTATTACTGTTATATGATTTAGGTACACTCATAGATAATATTATTGTAAACCTATTTATGACTTAACTCATTTATAGCTACTTAATTTAAACTATTTCTTACATAATCAAGTTATTATGTAGCGCATATTTTTTATATCAAAATTGTTTTTTTTTTATGTGAGTGTAATCACCTTATGATTTAAGTGTGAACAATTTGTATTATATTATTTATGAAAAAATAAAAAGCATGGTAAACGCTTCATTTTATGTATTTAACTACTTATGTATTACATTTTTTTATGATAATAATAATTATCAATTATTACTTTTGACAATGATAAGATAATTTATTTTAAGTACTAGCATCATAATGTATGCACACATTGAATATGCTCAAGATAATGTATCTTACATAAATACACAATTAATAAGTATCATAAATAAACCGTGTCATATCTGCATCAAGGAAAATCCCCAAAAATATTTATATAGGTACTTTTTGGATATCCTTACTATGCAGTGGACTATCGTCAGTTGTTAGAATTTGGTTACCACATATTGTGAATACCGTATTTTATTATAAAGTAATATCACAGAATTTAATCTATTGTGTGGTAATATGAAAATGAATTTATCAAAACATATAAAAATGATAGAAAAGTTGCTAAACATGATTCTAGCGCTTTATTATATCATATAAATAATATAACATTTCAAATTGGTATAAATGGTAAAACAGTACACACGATGAAAAATAGAAATGAAACTTCTATAAAATAATACATTTTAGAAATTTAGAAACTTAATAACACTGGTGAATACTCTGCAGTCTATACTATACTTGTTCAAGTTAAGAAATGTAGTCTGCAGCTGAATTGTGAGCAGGGGCGTGACAATACTTCAAAGAAGGTGTACAAATAGTTGACACAACTTGGGGAACAAACAGGTGTTGGCGTGTTGCCTGACTCCTGCTCAACGAAAACTGATCGCCGCCAACCACATTTCTTCACTTGAACAGAGAGAAGAATATTTCAATAAATGGATCATTATGAGTTTGACAGTACATATTAAACTCCAAATAACTATTAAGATGTATACGTTTCCCTTTTGTAGTTGCCATTCAGCCAATCATTCACCAGTTTGAGTGTCAATAAAATTGTATGTAATTGTTCGCGGTTAGATGACTAAAACCATAATTTTATAATTATATAAATCAGTCTTATAACCATGTCAATATATTGAATTCGGTATTGGAATATATAATTGTACCATGATTTATATTGTTTGTGATCTTGCCGTCTGCAGTCCTATCTTTAACCTCAACAAAAAACATCCTTTACTTTCTTTGCAAATGCCTCCAAAAGTAATAATAAATTGTACTCAAATAATTGGACTGTAGCAATAACTGAATTGTGATACTGTAAAATTGTAGGTAACCAAAAAGTATATTTTTTTAGTAATATGCTTAGTTGGTTTTTCATTTTGGGAACTGCAATATTTATGTGCGACGTAATCTCTGATTGATTGAAAGACTAAAGTATCTTGGTTAACATCGATCTACAAAGAGGGGGGGAGGGGGGTGTTGGAGCTTGTCTCATGCAAACATGTCACCTGCAATCGTATGTATTAATGCCTTTAGCCCTTGACCTAGGGTTGAAACTTACTTGTATTGAAAATTAAAAGCTGTATTAAACTGATCTGATGGTTGTGTTCCCAATTGTATGAATAAGATGTTTTATCATATTATAGTTAAATTAATAATCAATTAGTAAATTGTTTGGTAAATAATTATCATCCTAATAATGAAAAATAAAAATGCTTTCCACAAATTTTAAAATTTTAAGTAATTAAAATATATTTTTTTATAAATTTCAATAAATTAAAACTCTGAGGAAATTTTTTTAAACAATTATCAAAGTTAATTTTATTTGATAGAAATGATTTTATTTAAGAGGATGTCAGCGCACTATTTGTTTTCTCTTTCTATTCCACGCGCAACATAGACAAAACAAATTTACGCAGAATCATTGTTTTTATGTTTTTAAGTTATCTTAGGGTAAAATCACCCATAAAAACGATAGATAATAATATATTTGAGGGTATGATATATCGATTTATCTGAATATTGTCTCAAAACAATTTACAACATTTTTTTGTGTATTTTGTAAATCATAAAAAACAATTTTTAAGTGAAAGCTTAAATCTATGTTGCGCATGGGGCTGAAAGAAAACAAATATTGAGCTGACATCTTCTTAATATTAATGTTGTTTAGACACGAAAAAACTAATTTGAATAACAAGCATTAGACAAAGTATTTAGTATAAATGAGCAAAAGCAAGTTTTAGTAAGTATAGAAATGTTTTTAAAATTAATTAAGTGATCAATAGAAATATAAACTATTCCTTCATAGATTCTTCAGTTGGCTGTGCAGATGGTTTTGGCTGTCCATCATCTCCACCAATCTTCTTAGTTCCCGATACAATATCATCAATTCGCACCAATAATATGGCAGTCTCAATTGCAGTTTTATATACTTGAGATTTAACCACAATTGGTTCCCATATCTTTAGATCCTTCATGTTGGACATTTCTCCAGTTTCACCATTAATACCCCAATACTCATTGCCTTTGATTGTATGTTTGGCTCTTAATGATGTCATTGTCCTTATAGTGCTAACTCCGCAATTTTGCAAAAGAGTACGTGGTATCACTTCTAATGCTTGTGCAACAGCTTTATATGGCCACTGGACAACACCTGCTATATTTGAGCTTTTTTTCACCAATGCCTGCGATATGGCCATTTCAATGGAACCACCACCTGTAACCAATCTTGGGTTTAACATAATGTTTTTAGCCACATGCAAAGCGTCTTGTAAATTCCTCTCAACCTCATTTAATATATCCTTGCTTGGTCCCCTAAGTAATATTGTACAGGCTTTTGGATTGATGCATTCAGTAATAAATGTGAAATATTCGTCACCAATTTTTTTAATTTCAAATCGACCAGCTCCAGTACCAACATGGATTTCACGAAGTTCATCTGTTCGTGTTACTATTGCAGCATTACAAGCTCTTGCAATACGATTGTTATCAGATTTTCTTAAACGTCTAAGCACGGATATATTTGCTTTCATTAAGTAATGTTGTGCCAAATCAGATACTCCTTTTTCAGTACATACTAAATCTGGTTTCAATGCAATAATGTCATTGCACATTTGTTCTATGTACTCTTCTTCAATCTGTAATAGCCTAGTGAAATCAGTTTCTTTAACAATTTCCACATCTGTTTGACTTTCACCTTTTTTGAACTCCAAGGAACAATCTAAAAGAATAATTCTAGGGTTTTTGATTAATCTTCTCATTTTAGGATGTGTTATATCTTTATTTAACATAATGCCATTTAATAATTCAGAATCTTCAATTGCACCGCCCGGCACTTTCTCTACCTTGGCATACCTTTTTATATCAATTTCAGTACGGCCTTCCTCTTTAATTTTCACTGTTTTCACAGCATTCAAAGCAATGCCGCATGCTAAGTCTGACCAGGTCCCAATAAATTTAGTACCTATACATGATTGAATTACTTCTATCAGTTTATTTTCATCATCCATAGGTAAAGGGATACTAAATTCTTTATCTAAAATATTTAACATGTCTTCAAGAACTTGGCGGTATGCCTTAATGATTACAGTTGGATGAATTTTTTGTTCCAAAAATTGTTCAGCAACACCCAAAATTTCACCTGCAAGTACTACTACTGAAGTAGTACCATCACCAACTTCTTCATCCTGAGTACGAGCAATCTCAATAAATGACTTGGCTGCTGGATGCTGGACAGTGATTTCTCTTAGAATTGCATTTCCATCATTTGTCATTACAATTCCACCCATTGGATCCATTAACATTTTAAGCATAGCTCTGGGTCCGATACAGGTGCGCACCACATCTGCAATTGCTTTACCTAAAAGTACACATGAATAAATATTATCCAAAAATATGTTTAAAGAAATAAAGCTAAAATGTAATTTAATTATTTTCTTGTATTTTGTAAAATTATGTTTAGTACAAATGTAATTCTTAAAAAGGTGGATAAGTGGGTACTGCTATCCTTTACAACAGTAGTTGTCGAGTATATCATTGTAATGGATGTTAGATTTAAATTCAATGATAAATCATTAAAAAATAATTCTGAACGGAGACGGCGTGTCAGCTTAGCATACATGTATATTGTACAAACAATCAAATTTAAATTAAAAACCGCTGAATATCAAATATCACAAAAATTAAAAATCAAATGGTCATAAAAAATTATAGATGTTGTCCGGTGAACTTTTTTTTTCTACCACAAATGTTGATGACAAAAAAAAACACATCATTGTAATTACTAATTATAATACATTCTTTCGCTAAGAACCTAAAATCTATTAAGATACTAAAAACATTTCTAATAACAAAGAACCTATAACATTTAATTACTAATAATTATTATCTTTAATTTAAATCTTATATTATTTATACTAACATTACTTAGGTAAAAAATAAAAATGAATTAGGTACACATTGAAAAGATTTCCACCTTTATATATTTTTGTGAACAATTTAAATTAAAATGTATTTAACCAGTGTTGGTATCGCTGTGTACCCAATGCTCCACCATTGGTGTTGAGTGAGAGTCAATCTTGCCTTATTATTTTTTCATTGGTATTAACTACTCATAAACCTATAATATTGAAACCCATACCAAAATATTTATTTTTTAGCATCTTACAAAAGAAAACTAAAATTTTTTTCAAAAAAATACATTAAAATGATAAAAATTAAAAACCACATCATAAATAGGGTTTTGTACTAAAATACAAATAAAATATTATTTTCTTTAGTTTTTCATTTTTTTCCTGCTTTAATTTAACTTTGATTGTTAGTTGCCTGTGTACAGGTATACATGTTACGAAATCATTCATCTTGGTTTGACCGGTCTTTAATTTTTTGCTCATTGCTACACAATATGCGTGTATAAGAAGTGACGCACGTATCAAGAATACTAACGACTTTGGAACTTAATAAGTTATCAAGAAATATTTATAAAATTCTTTTATTTACAAATTTATATTTGGAAACTTGTCTATAAGCCTATGATACCATGGTAGTTAATACTTAATACAATAATTACCTATTACATTTAAAATGATCAACACAAAAAAAACTAATATTGTTGGATAATAGTTGATACATTAATTATTAATATAAATATAAGTAAACATATATTATACATACTTCTACAGAATTATTATGAATAGTAGATATTTAAATACCTATTTATTTTATTATTAAATCTGAAGGCTAAAAACATTTTATAAAATAATGTAATATGTAAAAGACTAGGCATAAAACACATTTTTACCTGCAGCTATATTTTCTTTTTGAACTTTACGTCCAAATCTTCTTTTTGTGTTGGTGTTCAACACTAAAACTGGAGCACCGTTCTGTGACATAATTTTCGTGAACTTGTACGACAAGCAAATAACAATTATTGCAAAAGTTAATTTTGTAAGTGTAAAATATTTAATATTATATTGAACACGAGGCGAAGTCTAGAAGCCGGCGGTACACAGTTTACTGTTTAGCACATTGGTACAATACACGACACGATCGTAATGATATTTGATAAGTGATCGCCGGACGCTGATAAGCTTGTATCAAATAAATATGATGACGTGATTGGTTGGTTGTGGTCAGTACAATCGAATTATTCGATAGTTCTGTAAGCAGTTTGTCATTATTTTGTCGAACACAACAAGACACAGATTATGAAAAAAAATCCCGGAAAAAAAGAACAATTTTTAAAATTTAGTTTATAGGTCTACACTATATCCATTGATATCATAATTTGTTTAGAAATATAATCAATTCGTCATCTTGAGCTAAGGTTTCCCTGCAGCGTCAAATAATGGAACAGCGGACCTACGTCGAGACGCTGCAGCTGGGAAAACGTACCTTCCCCGTCTCATCAACTTACCACACTCTCCCCAAATTATTTCACTAATGTTCAGTCAGTGTCGTTAAGTCCAGGTGTGCAGAGTTGGCAGTGGACACAGGTCCCAGGCCTCATACTGGGCGTAACACGATTGAGCGCATTTTACGTTTTTATATAATATGAGAAAACACGATTGCGCACCTTTTACCTTTAAGGGGCCTCGGCTCCTCAGTATGGCATTGATTTAAGGAGAATCATTTAGGCAATTTCTATTTTCGTCGTCGCCACCCGAGATCCTATCTGTCGTAATTGATTATTAGTGTGTGTGGAGGCCATGCGGGTCAGTATGTAATATTGAGATCATGAAAAATGTTTTCACTCAAACATACGATTCTAATTCCAACAATACGTCGCAACGATTACCTGGATTTGCATTCTGACAAAATATTCTTTTTTCCCACAACATGTACGACGGGGATCGATCGAGGCACATTTTTAATATTGTACTTGGTTTGTTAAATATTTTAGTTGGAAATTCTGATTTTTTTTTAATTTTTCACAATTTATATTGCAATTTAAATTACAAAAATTAAAAATGTGACTCGATCGTTGGAATTAGAAACAGTAGTTTTTGACAAAAAAAGACGTTGTAGTGACGGCCCCTTAATAATTGAGCAAACGCAACAACGATTGCGCCAAACAAATATTTTGTATTGTTGGAACTAAAGGAGTTAACAATAATGATTGTATAATCCTATATACATACTAGCTGATTCCGTGCGGCCTTGCACTTTGTTACCCGTTAAATTTACCAACTCTATATGACTCAAATGTTGTTCAATTCATTATTTAATATTCGGTGTATGGTGTTCAACATTTATCTTAACTTTTCCGTAAAAATATCCATACCCCTCACCCACACATTTTGTTTTACTATTGGAGTAAGGCTTTAGCCACCCCCCTCCAAATCCCAAACACTATTTCCGCCCATGTTGTATTAAGGCTCTACATACCATGGGTATGCTATGCCCACAGATATATAAAGTAGTTACTTTATATATCTGTGGCTATGCCACCATTTTGCGCCTCTTTTATCAATGATAAAATGATAAAATAAAGGGGGAGAAATTCATATTCACATACGATTATTAGTCACAAAATGGCGGCGTAGCATAAGTGCCCTAGTTGTATACGAAATACGATTTTAAGCTGTGACGGTTTGTCAGTGTAGATATTTTATATTATATTTATATTGTTATTACTTATTATTAATACGGTAGCCGGTAAGTTGAATGAATATTCAAAAATTACAACAAAAAAACTAAAATCGTTATTCTTGGTTATTTAATATGTAATTTCCTCCAAATTTGAACATAGAATAACTATAAAAAAGTTTTTATATTTTTGAGATTTTTGGTTACAGAATAACCTACTTACGTGGAATATTGTTGTTAGTTTTCAATCCTTGCCTATAAAAATTTAACATTTTATAAATTTTTATAACTACACAATAATGTTGTCAAAATTCGAAGTTCGAACTTTAAATGCTTATTAAAAAAAATTGTGATTATGTATTTTTAATATTTTTCAACTGCTACTGTACAGTGTTGGTACTAACGTAACGCAAATTACAAATTACTGTAGGTAATGCAATTGTAATAAAACTAATTTTTAAAAGTAATTTCTATAAAGTAACCAAGTATCGCGTTATTTTCACGTTATTAAAATAATAGTTTTGAATGTATTACAAAAACCAACCAATAGGATATACCCAGAAAAATAAAAATCAATTATATTTATTTTTGATTCCGATAATAGTTAACAATATTACTAAACATTCCAGGAATAAATATTATCACTATAATTTTATCGTCATATAATTGCAAATAAAATTTTCAAATACGTTTTGAGTAAAATCACGATTTTTGTGTTATGTCGTTGTTGTAGCAAACAAGCAACTTGATTAGCAGAAAGAAAAGAGTTTGGTTTAAAAATAAAATTTAATAAAAGTTAATTATGATATATGACTTATGACTGTATAGCCATATAGGTGAGACGATTGTACATTAATTGTACATAATACATTAATACTATAACAGGTCTATTATCACTAGGTCTATGTTTGTAAAATATATACATAATAATTGAATCATATGAATTGAATATGGTTAAAAATATAATGATAAAAAAAAGGAACGTTATTTGTAACGCACTACTTTATTAATGAAAAAGTAATTTAACGAGATAAAAATAAATTTAGGTAACGCAAATGTAATTTAAATAAAAAATATTTGAAGTAACGAGTAACGTAATTTCATTACTTTTTAAAAGTAATTTACCCAACACTGCTACTGTAGCAATATATCAGGAGCTTTGTATTAAATTTTCAAATAAATACAATAAATATTTGAAAATTTAATTTGGTCCTAGTATTTTAATATTGTTTCAAGAATAGATAAGCTCATTTATTTAAGTATAATATACAATGTACACAATTATATTCTATGAAAATTTTGTATTTAATATATCATATTACAAACACACTATAAATAAAACATTGATATTAAATTCAAATGTATGTATATTATCAATTTATTGGTGTTAAAAAAAAGTTCTGCTTAATGCTCTAAAAGTATTATTATATAATTTAAAGTAAACATTTAGCAACAAAATTATGCTGTTTCATTGGTCCCGGGGATAAGTTGTAGTTTAATAATTTGACTTAAAAATAAGTCAACAATTAAATAAATCTTAAATACATAATAATAATTAAAGTCTCAAAGAATTCATTCATAATACTAGTATTAAGAATGATTCATTTATAGATCTTTTATAATATAAAATAAAATAATTGAGACTATTTTATACAATTTATAACTGAGACACTTATTATATTTAAAACAAACTTAATAGAATGTAATTCCTTTTATAAAATTCTTCATTTATCAGTGTTTCAACTTTTTTAAATTCTCTAATCAGTCGCTATCTATATTTATACCTATAAGGTTTAACTTTAAAACAATTAACTAATAATTTATCCATAATTAACTTTGGTTTTAATAAATTAAAAACCAAGTATACATATCTTTATTATTTGCAAAAATTACATTCTATGAGGGCATGCTTGACAATAAAAATTATAGTAAAAAAAAAAAAAATGTAATATAATAGTATAAAATAATAAATTTATAGTTGCTAAATAAATACTTGAGATTAAAATGATAAATTAAAAAAATGTACTGATTTACATACATTAAGATTAAAAAAAAAAAATACACAATTATTGTTCATAACATGTCATGAGTTTTGTTACTATGATAAAATATTTGGTGTAGTATTCTTAATAAACTATAAATAACACGGAACAAGTAAATATTATATGGACATTAATCGCAATTATATTATATAATTACCTATCCGTTTGTTTTTATGGTTTTAGAAAATATAACAAATTATTGATAGATCTTTTAGATGTTATGTACAAATTACTCAGTTCTGTTCTATAAAATAAATATTGAAAAAATTATGGCATTCGATTCAGGCACGTGAAACTGATATTTAAATTTAGCACCAAATATTATAAAGTTTAAAAAATGTTTAATTTTGAATTCATCTCTATGGCATTTTACATCACTACTTAAGAAAAAAATACTGTTTGAAAAAATGAGATTCAATAATTGAGTTAAGTAGTGATGTTAGGTGTAGTAGGTGAAAATTTAACAAATGGGTGCTAAATAACAAAAAAATATTATGAAATGTATTTTTAAGGAAAGTTACCATGTTTAAAAAAATTGATAACATAAGATACATGTGTTAATACAATTTTTTTCTTAAAATAAGAAGTTATAGTATCTAAAACATTATGGAATGCAATTAAATAATGACATAATATTAATTTTACTTTTTAAAAGTATAAAAATAAATAAATAATAATAAAAATAGTTGTTATTTATAATAACTTTTACGATTAAAAATATAATTATCAATTTGAACAGTTCCTGATAATCAGTTTGAGCACATATACTTTGTATCCCAGTAGGCTCTCGAATTGGACTGTAGTGAGGATATAGAATGAGACATATTCATTTTATTATCTAAATTAATCACAGATTGATTCATATTAGCAGATGTAAACATTTCTTCTATAAAATTTAAATACATCAAAAATGAATTTTATTGCGCCTTAAAATTGAATGCGCCATAAAAATTACCTTCAGAAGGTAGTTGTGGCACCCTGGTTCCACGACGAATAAGAAGCCGTACACACGATCCTCCACTGTGGATGATTTCTATGGCTTCAGCGTGTGTCATGTTTTTAGTATTGACTCCATTGATTTCTATAATATGATCTCCTATCTATAATTAATATAACAAACAAATTGTATTAATTTTTTTTTTGGTTTTCAACAAATATTTTATAAATAATAAATAATAAATTATATAAAACCCATATGAACTAAAAATTATTTCTTAAATAATGATTAATTTTGGAATTGTTAGTGTTAAAGCTTAAAAGGA